ACAGGGTGGCTGGTGGGATGCCCGGTCCGTGCCCTGGTCCATGCTCGGTGCTTGCCTGTACCGGGACTGCGCGAGGCAGCTGTTCCCTTGCCCATCGAATTGGATGCAGTTGTCTAGGGCTCTTCCCAGGCGCCGGCTGGCATTTGGACTGTTTGTTTATCACTAATAGGGTTTGTATTGGGGAAGGATGCAAGTGGGTGGGTGGCCTAATTGGCAATGGAGATGCTCTCATGGTGTGCCAGATATCTAGGGAAAAACGCGACTGCTCAGCTCCCTGGAGGGCTGAGTGAGGTGAGCGGAGGCGGTGAGCTGGGCTCTGCTGCCCGATGGCAAGGCCACCATCCGTGCCCTCCTGCCTGGCCACGGCCATCCTCTGCGGCTTGGTGGATGCAGTAGCTTGGCGGTGGTGAAGCATCCTCTTGCCAAAACTGCTGCTGGAGCCATGGAGGGGTGAGAGGCGAGGCAGGAGAAGGTACTTCTGCACGCAAACAATGTACGTCCTTGAAAGCAATAGTTCCTCGCTTTGCCTGCTTAGTTTTTATTGGTTTTGACACTTCTTGCCATCCTTTTGTGCTGGAAGAGAGCACTTGGCTCTGCTGCGGGAGGGGAAGGGTGACCTTTCCATTCCCCAGCCTCGGAGCTGGATGAGCAGGCAGAGTCTGGCTGGATCCCCCGGTATGCCACACGGCTGGGCTAAACCGGGAGGAGAAGGTCACTTTGGGGGTGAGCTCCATGGAAACACCTCCACGCGAAGGAAACCTTTCCCCGGTGTTACAGCACTGCTTTGGGGAAGACAGGCAGCCGTGCCCAGCTAGCTGAAATGACGGTCACTCTGTTAACTTGGGGCGCAGGGGTGAGCGATGAACCCTGGTAGCCCGCTTGCAGAAACCTGGACCCGCATTGCTTGCAAACTGCACCATCTGCACGGGCGAACAACAAGGTCCACGGGGGATTTCCAGCTTTCTTCTCGAAGTTCACGCTCACGAGCTGCTGCAGAGCTGCCTCTCTGCCCTCGCTTCATCTCAGCAGCGGTTTTCTTTGGGGAAACAATCAAACACCCGAGGCAGGTCCCGAATGCGAAGAGGCTGCAGGAGGACATTTGTATGTTTAACTTGCCACCGTCAGAAGTTTGCCGGAGCCCAGATTTAGCAATCTTCTAGTTGCGATGCGCATCTCTCCCAACAGTCAGTTCCCCAACTGTTAAGCTGAGGCATGACCTCCGTGATGTAAACAGCCTGGATCCATCTGCTCCTAAGCACAAAGTATGTGGGAGAGGAAAAGAAATTATTTCCATCATACCGAGGCTCCTCAATTTTTCTCTTTGAATACTAACATGCACACATGCGCTGGAATTGCACGCAACGCTATTAAGAGGAGATGGAGTCGCTCCAGGCAGGGCCTTGGAGAGCTAGTTCTTCTGGGGCTTTGGCATTTATGACTGTGTCTATTAACTTTCCCCCTCTATGGGTGCAATTATGGATCAATTAATTCTAACTGAAAACAGGAAAGAAAGAAAAAAAAATTGGCCCTGTTCCTCTTTGCGAGCAGGTACGAAGCCCAAGGAGATGTGACTGCTCAGCTTTTAAAGCTGCATAAGCTACCAAAATAATCCTGGCAGAAGAGAGTCAGTGGGAGCGAGTGAGGATGGAGCACCAGCTGAAATGCCCTGTTCTCTGCTGCGTGGCAGCCGGTGGATTTGGGAGCTCGGGAAGACGCTGGGACTCCAATCAAGTGTTGCCTGCTTCTGTCCTGTGGCCTGAGGTTGGTGTCATCCAGTACCCTGCTGCGGTGGGGCAGGGTGCACCTCCAGCTCTGCACCTCTTCCCGGAGAGAACCGCTGTAGTGCAGAGAGAGAATCGCGTGCTGCAGGAGCAGTAGGAGGGATGGATGGGGATGGGACCCCCTCCTGCCCTGCAGCTGATGGCCCCTTGCGGGCAGTGCCCTGCGCTCGATCGGCTCCGAGTCAGGGGGATGCAGAAATTGCGTGTGCTCCATGCCAGGGGTTTGCAAAGGTCTGCTCTCCCTTCTTTCCGAAATCGTTGGGTTTTTTGGTTTTGCTCAGCTGTTTCTTATGTAAAACAATTTGGATCTGTGTGTTCAGGCTGCATCTCCAGAGCAGCAGAGACCTGGTGAGAACCACGCTGCCCCGTCTCTGCTGCCTGCGGGATGTGCGATGCTGCAGCGGCAGTAATGCCATCCCAGTAAGGACCACAGCTCACCACTGGTCCTGTTCGAGCCCCTGCAGAGGTCCTGCCTGCTTTGCCTCGCCTGGCAAGAAGATGGCTTATGTCTAGCTTGTTGCTGGGAGCCAGAAGATGAAAGAGTGAAGATAAAATATAAGCTATGCTTGGAGGTATAACCTTGAGGACTCATGCGGAGTTTCTGATACCAGACAGGCTGTGTTTTGACTCTTTTCCATCTCCCTTTCCCCAGCCCCTGTGGAGAAAATCTGGTTTGCAGTTGCCCTCCTCCATTGATTGTAGCATCTGTGCTCCTGTTGAGGGCCGGTAGACTCCGTGCCCCTACGCAGTCTCGTACCGCTAGCCCCTTTCCAGGGTGGCAGAGCTGCTGTCATCGCTGGTATTTGTGGTCCGCAGGAACAGCTGAGTGGGTGCAGAGTGGAAGGGGATGCTACCTGACCTGGGAAGGCTGGGTTCTCGAGTCTGCCAAGGAGAAGACCTCTGGAAGCTGATGGCAGAGCAAGAAGTTGAACACTATGGCAAGAAAAATGAAATCCATCTGCCTTGTACCAAACAAGAGAATAATTTAAATCCTCCTAATTGCTTCTACTCATCCTGGTGATGTTAAGTCTTTTCTCCCTTTAAGTCTTTTCTGCCCCCCACCCCCAGCTCTTGCACTAAGCCTTTGAAAGAAGCAACTAATGTTATAATTAAAGGATCAATTTGGCAAGATCTCTTTGTCTTTAGATCTTCTTTCTTTCAGGTTGGGTTAGTGCTGTGTTCTCAGTCTCCGGAGAGTTTTCTTCAGCTCCTTCAGGAGCCTTCTGTACCATCTCTGAAATCTTTTCACTTCACTTAATTTGAATTTTTTTCCCACCCAATCTTGAGGCATAACAAATGATGAATAAAATTAAGTTTTATAGCAATTAATAATAAGGGCGTTGAAGGAACAAGTGTACATTTTCAATGGAGGCAGGTTTTTTTTTTTTTTCCGGCTCTGTGCAAAACCTGGGCCCCGCGTGTTTGAGCTGGATCAGGCGGTTTGAAGGCAAAAAAGCTGGGAGGAGGATTAATGTCTCGGAGGTAGGTGGTTTGTGGAGGGGAAAGTGGGGAGACATGTTGCCACAATGCTGGAAGGCTTGTGGGGGGATCCTGAGTTGGTAGCAAGATGCCAACAAACATACCTGAGAAATATTGCATCGGAAGCATGAAAGCTTGGAAGCATTGAGGGTTTTTTTCTTTAATAGTTGTAGCATCTCAGGGAGTGTCTCGGATGAGAAGTAAAATGTCTGTGCCCGTTGTGTGTTTGGGGATTCACTAGTTGGAATCGCTTTTGAATGGAGGTGTGAGTGTAATGAGGAGGGGGGGGCTGT